ACACTCGCAGTGGTAGAGGCCGGAACGTGGCTTACTACCGAAAGAAATCTGGACGCTCGATTGGCCGTGGCCATCTCCTGTCCTGTGCAAACTGACTGACTGACTGACTGAATAAACCTACCACCAGAACCCGGGCTACTCGAAAACTTCGGTTCCCAAGCCCGTCAATCCCCGTGAATCCCCGTGAAGGTCAATTGCCGCTGAAGGCCGCTTGTGTAACTGCATGCTGCCAGCAAGATGAACATACGCAACGCGAGAGTAAGTTCTTACGGATGTCTTTTTCCAAACATTCAGCCTAATGATCTATTAAATATGAGGGATTGTAACCTAGATTGTCTCCCAGAGAACTACCAGATGAAGTATTACTTTTACCACGGGCTGTCTTGGCCTCAGCTGTCTTTTGTTGCTGAGACGGACGATAAAGAAATTGTGGGCTATGTTCTTGCTAAGATGTAAGTCAATATAACTCTCTGGTTATATTTATCAGGGAAGAAAATCCCGAGGACGTACCTTATGGACATATTACTTCTTTGGCTGTCAAGCGGCCGTATCGCCGTTTGGGAATTGCCCAAACTCTAATGAACTTAGCCTCACGTGCCATGGTAGAAAATTTCCAGGCGAGATATGTTTCTCTGCATGTTCGAAAGAGTAACAGAGCTGCTTTAACTCTATATAAGAAATCCCTTCAATTTGTGTAAGTTAATGTTCGCTAATGCTATATGCTTTCCTACTAGTGTTGCTGATGTGGAGCCGAAGTATTATGCAGACGGCGAGGACGCCTACGCGATGAAGCGCGACCTTAAATCTATATGGGATAAGGTATATCGCTTTGTCATGAGTAATGATATTTCTTCGATTTAGTACGGGCCACCTGGTGTATCCTTCAAGGAGACCAAAAGCAAAACCATGGATTCGTGATTTCCTTATTTTTGTTTAATATAGTATTGTGAAACTGAAATCACTCTTCTCGATTCGTTCAGTCAGGATGGGTGGTATTGTATTGGAAAAGATACTACATATACGAATAATAATGAAGAAAACGATACATGGAACGGACTCAGGATTGTCCGGCTAGCTGATTGGTCCTGTTTTTCGGATGTGGCTCCGGTTGATAGTGTGCAGTATTGCTGAAATGGACGGCTGCGACAGTTAACGGATCGCTTGACGATAACTGATAATGTACACATAATTCCTCAGCAGCACTCGAACAGAACATATATATATATATATATATATATATATATATATATATATATGTATATAAGGGCTCAAACGTTGGATTTAGGAACGCACCGGTGATAGCGATTTTGATTAATGAACTTCTTATTTGCAATTCGACCTAACTGAGGATTAGAAACCATGGAACGGTAGCTAAACCTAGCAGAGAGAAATGTTTCAGCTTAATGCAAAAAAATGTTCTACTTCGGACACCCTTACCAACATGGCGAGTTCAGTGCTGCAGTCCCTACACAGGTATGGCGCGGTATTTTTTGAGTGGTTATTCGACTGCAGTAATGCTTTTAGTTGTATCGACAGGTCCATCACCATCGTACAGCGAAATACAGTGAAGCGAAGTTCACTGAACGCACTGCTTACAAGGTTAGTTGTAAAATTCAAGGTGGACAGGGATTGGATCTATTTTGAGGGAGGGAGAAGAAGGTGAGCCACTATGGTCAACACAGAGTACGCAATCGAACTCCGCATACATGCTGTTTCAAGTATTCTGGTCTGATAAGAAGCGACAACAAGAACGCCACTGGTGCCGGTTCGCTGCCATATCCTTCAATGTCTCCAGCCAACCAATTGTGGAGTCTTTCGGACCCCAACCTGGAAGGCGAGAGACATCTGCTCTACCTAATGGCTCTGTGCGTTTCTTCATGCCTCGTCTCCACGTCATCTGTTGACCTCCACGTGGTTTCTCCAGCCCGGACTAGCTACAGCGAATAAAACGCGGTGCGGCAGACGATGGCTGGGCACACGCAATATATGCCTTAGCCAGCGAAGTCTACTAATTTCAATTCGGTGTGCTAGCATGTGTATACTTGATAGGCTCCCGAACACACGACGGCCTACCTCCACGTTACTAACCCGTTCGCTCCATCCAACCAGGGCTACGTAAACACCGATAATCGAAAACTTCTAGTCGATAGATATCTTCTACTCGCAAATTCAAGGTCTCACAACCATAAAGCCGGACTGAACGAATGCTAGCATGATATACACGACCTTTCAATTTCAGTGAAACGTCCCGTCTACGCCAAAGGTGTTTCAGTCCTGCATATGCTGCTGGAGCCTTGGAAATGCGGGCGGTTAACTCTTTTGCTCAGTTACCGTCATTGGTCACGCAACTACCTAAGTAGGAAAAGTAATCCACCATAACTAAGTCCTGACCATTTAGTTTCAGAGCGAGAGTAGAGGAAACCCGGTCCTGCAGCATTATTTTGCACTTTGAAGGTGCAAAGCACATGCCGAATGTAACAACTGCATTTGTTGTTCTATCAAGTGCGCTTTGCGCGTCCTCCATATATTCGAACAGACAGACGATGTCATCAGCGTACTCCAAATCGCGCAGCTTTTCTCCAGCTATCCATTAAATACCTACGTTTTGGAGTCCGCTTTCCAAAACTTCATCTACGACGAAATTGAACAGGAACGGCGAAAGAGGGCATCCTTGACGGATGCCGGTGACGAACAGCCTNAACAGCCTACTTAGTTCGTTGTAGACCCTTACACGACCGGAGGTCTGTGATTACAGTGATGTCAGTAAGTCATCGTATTTCTGGGGCATTCCTTTTCGAAGAAGGGAGTCCATTAGAGATTCGCGGTCAGCTGAGTCGAAGGCTCGTTTCAGGTCAAGGAGCACTGCGTCGACAGGATCAGGCTTTTATCTCTGCCCCGTGATGCTGGATCGACCATTAATAATCTGTCTTTACTGTAAAGCTATTTTACTGAAAGAACACACTTCACGAAGTTTCTTGGACAAACTTGGCTCGCTGCGGGTCAATTTACGGATACTCTAAACAGCGATTCAGTCACATTTTCTTTTCTATATTTGAGACCTACCCACGACCCAGCGGATCTACATAGTATATCGATGATGTCACAATTGGTTTCAAAATTATTTCCGTTTCTCACAGCTTCAAATCAATTTATGTATAAAGTTTGTGGTCTTCGTATTCCCACTTATTTATTAAAGCTTCTGAATGTATAGATGTCGCTTTCTCACTAGTCGAAGGGGAGCGGCTAGATTGGTTTGAAAAAATTGCTCCGTACTCTATGTCCAGACTGTTCCCGCATTACGTTCCTTCAATAACTTGGTATTAGGATCTTCCAAGGTCTCACATCGATTTCACACTTCAATTGCACTTTTAAAAAATTTAGGCAACTGTGTTGCTTTCCGCTTGCGATCTTCAAAAATTCTATTATATTTACTCACCCGTTTTGCACATTCTTGTGTTATTACTCATCTTCTTTATTGCTATTTAGTTTTGTTTGCCGATTTTAGAGGTAGTTTCAGTTTGAACAACCGTTAACCATGCATATGCGTGCGCCGGTTTTGGTTGCTGTCCTTTGGAGAAGGAAGGAAGCTTGAAAGTGGAGTCGAAAAGAAAATGGAGAAGTTCAGAAGGTTGCAAAGAAATTGAGAAGGTGCACGAACGCCATTGGTTGCGACACCCAGCCATATCACTCAGTGTCCTTAACC